CTTGAAATAGACCATGATGATCTCAGACCCTAAATCACCTTACTGAAATACACAAGCCTAGGGAGAGAACTATTTGACTTGGAGATTATATCTGGTAATCATGGAATAAGTCTAGGCCATAATTATAAATTGAACTTCCGGTTACAACATGGGTTCTCGAGCAATCATTTTGTATTTTTAAATTTCTACTTAAGACCTCCAGAACTGAGTCATGGATGTACCTTGGGTTTATTAATGGCCTTTGAATTAATGCAGCAGTTAATGAATTGAGCTGCAATTTCTAACTATGCAAATCTCTAAATGAGGTGACTAATGACCCTCAACATGCAATGTGCTGTGTGGCTGATTTAACATCTGACTTAGTCCTTTGCGGGGCCAAGGTCATTGTTCACGAGTAACTTAGTTTCTTGCGGATCCTATGGTTGCTAGTGTACATAATTAACGCTCAGGAAAAATACAGGCCCTAGAGCAGAAGAACAAAAGGCCTACAAGTATGGATAGCTAAGAAAAAAAGAAGCCAGGATGTTAAAGCAAATCAACCTGGCTTGGACCAACAGATGTCTATAGTTCTCTTAAGCTTTGTGACACCGCACAATTCAGGTTAAGGGCATGTCAGCAATACTTTCCTGCATTGCACCTGGGCCTTTGAAACCTTGGATTTTACTATTGTGCTTGAGCCAAAAAGGCAGAACAAGAAATTTGTTCACTGAAGTACACACGGGGCTTTCATCAATGGCAAATCTACGTTAGCAACACTGAGGATGGTAATCCAGAGTCATTTGCATTTTTCTGTATGTGTGCAAGCTTCCACCATGCATGCATTGTCCTTTTCAGGCCCAGGCATGCAATTTGAAGCCATTCAAAAGCATACTAATATGTTTTTAAATGGAGGAGTCTCGAATCACAGGGGGGCCAGCATATCCCCAAATCCCAGCCAGAGTCAATTTTTCATCAGACAAAATAAGTTACACTATTCACATCAGCTCTATGGTAATTCAGTTAAGCAATAAGTAGAAAAATCCACTGAACAGTTGCTCGTTGGACCTCGGACCATTTTGTCATTCCCTTTCTGGTTTCTCCATTCATTTACATAAAACAAGTAAAATTTATTTTCCAATTGATACACTTTTCTTGCAAAAACAAAAGTTTTTTTTTATAAAAGTAAAGAAAGGCACTTTGTAAACTATGTACAAATCTGTTTCTTTCTTGTCTACACTAAGGAGATAGAGAAGATACTAAAGGCAGGGCCAAGTCTTTCTGCAAGTGACTGCAGCTGTGGAGAATCTCGAGAAAAGAGCCAGATTTCCTCCACAGCCAAACCGCATCCTGGAGCTCATGAACTCATAGGATTCTCCGATTCAGTTGGGCACAGGACAAGGGGTCAAACTCCTTGATCTCGTACAGGTGGTAAGGGATTAACTCACGTTGGACCAAACCAGCGAAAGCAAGGTTTTGGTACATACCTGCCTACCAGGATTGGTCTTAGGCACTTGGGAGAATGGACATTCTGTTAAATGTCAGGGACGCAGCTGATAATAACTTGTGCTCGTGTTGAGGTGCCTTAAACCCGTTCGTTACCAACTGACCAGAGAACATTTTGCAGTTGGGGTTAGAATCTTCCATAAATCACCCATTGGCTAGCCCGTCTCCATGTGCTTTGTAACTTGAATATTTAGGTGTTTGTTTATAAAAACATGACTTTTTATAATTCAGAGCATATGGCTCTTTAAACCAACCATGCAATAGTGGTTTATAATTCATCAGAAAGAAATAAAAACCAGAAGCCGCAGTCAGAAGAAAAGCGATTTGGGGCTGTTGGACTCAGCAAAAAATAAGCATGGCTTGATTCAGTAAAAGATCATTATTTCTAAAAATCAGAGCCTCATTCAGTAGGTCTTAAAAAAAAAATCTCATGCCTCCTCTCTACACACATACTTGCATGTTATCTTGGACTCTGATCCCGTACCTATGTAATTTATAACATGCACATGTCATATGTTAAGACCAACTAGAACTGATGATTTAAAAGTGAAATCAAAAAAGCACATCACTGGAGAGTACTTGTGTGTCTCTGATGAAGGGCAATTATTTATTAGCTTCCTTACGATCAAAGCACTGGGTAAATTATCTTTGCTGGAAAGTATTTAGTGAGTCATGAAATCAAGGAGCCAGAGTTTGAAAGGATATTAGAGATGATAGGCCTGACATTTCCTTCAGAGGAAACTGAGGCCCAGGAAAGGCAATTGCTCTAAGGCAACAGAGCGAGGACTAGAACCCGGGTCTCTTGGCCCTCAGTCTGCATCCTTCCACTGCACTAGCTGGCTCCTTGATAGGAAATATGCCAGAAGATGAAAAAAACAAAAACAAAAACAAAAAACAAACCTACTTAATTCAAATAAAGACTGTTAATTGACCATAGAATTGTAAACTTGGCTTACTTAATGAGTGGCTAATTGGGGTATTTTGAGGATTTACTTCAAGGTGAGTCTTTAACCAGGACATTTTTTTTTTCCCCACACATGCCAAGTCATATGTCAAAACAGGTTATTTTTGAATTTTCAAATTATCAGAGTGATTGAGATACATTTTGGAGGAGAATGGACTATTTTGGAAAAAGTTTGGTCTGGACTGGCTTGGAAGGGCAGAGTCAATCCCAGGTGGAGTATATCCCCTGGCCCTCTTGGAGCTGTGTGTACTTTTGCCAAGTCATCGTCTATCATTCTGTAAATTTAAACCCTAAATGGATTTTTAAAAAAGTATGCCTTCTCCTTACGTAGAGTGTCATTGAGGGCAAGTGAGACCTGACTTGTATTTCCGAGAGAGGATTGTTTCTAGGCACTAACGTACCTTTAGTGGAAATGGTCAACCAGGACAGTACTTCTCAAATTTCCCTGTGTACATGAGTCATCTGAGGATCTTAGTACGATGCAGATTTGGATTCTGTAGGTCTGGGGCAGGGGAGCTGAGAGTCTGCATTTCCAAGCAGTGCCAGGCGATGCTGAGACAGCTTGTCCTCAGGGCCTACTTTGAGTAGCAAGGACCTAGGGCACTGGATGAACTTGGACAACTTTCCCAAATGTTCCCTTCACCCTTAGTGCTGGTCTATATTGGGAGACGAGAACTCAGATCGATTTACTTTGGCAACCCTGGAAGCCCTAGCGATGAGTTCACTTGCAAACATCAGGGCCACCGCGGAGCCCAGTTCCTGTCAGCATGGTCTTGCTGGGCTGGTATATTTAACTCCCGGGGGTGAGTGCAAATTCACTATGTCCAGCTAGTGAGTAAACACAGAGAATGGCTTTGCCATCAGATGAAATGAAAAACAGAGGGAGGCAGTTTGAGTCATGAACGCTCTCTTTAAAATGGAGAGCCAGGCTTATGGCCGCTCTTGGGAAGGCTGCCCTTGGAACAGACTTGGAGACTCTTGCTACCAGACCCTGGCCGCTGTAGCTGTTGCCACCACTGCCCAGATGCCTGCTTCCTTAGAACTTCTATTTGAATGCTTCCGCTGGGACTGCTGTATCTGCCTCTGCCAGGATTTCGCAAATGGATCTACTTCAGAGAGATACTAACTTCTGGCTTTGCTTACATTTTCTTGGCTGCCCAGGATTTCTCAGAACACCCAAACCAAACAAAACCCTCTCTCTAAAACAGTATGTGAGATGTTATCACTCACCTTTTCAGGGTGGTTTTATGAATATTCACCCGGAGAAGAGCAGAAGCCCCAGAGTAGCCCTAAATTACACAGGTAATTTCTGGTCTGTGGAAAGCCCTAAACCTCTTGGCTGGCGACTGTTGAAAGTATCACAGAGATAAAAAGAATCAGATAAACTATACAACGCTGTGCTGGAAATTGAATATAATCATCCACTTCATACTCCTCAATGGGCTTTGGGTTGCTATGGCATCTTACTCCACAAACAGGGACTGCATATACTACTATGTACTGCAAATACTCATAACCTCATAGCAGAACACACCGTACCCACTAAATACGTAAACAGCTGTACTGGGAAGATAGAAAATAGTCTTTTATTTTACCTAAGTGATAGAAAAATAGTCTTCAAAAATACATTGTGAAACTTACGGGTTTATATTAAAGTAGAATTTGTATGTACAGTAAGGCAGTATTTCCATTAGCATCCTGCTGTGATTATCTTTTAAAATTAGTCTTTGGGGATTTTTTTTTAACCTAACCGAAGACTAGGGTGTATAATACATTATCTCTTATGCTGAAATGAAACAGGAAAACATTGTAGAAGAATTTACCACATGAAACTCATTTACCTGTCATGTTAGAAAATTTCGCTTTCCAAAACTATTTTCTCTAGAGGCTTCAGAATAAAATACAATTTAGGGGGAGAAAACAAAATCCATGCTTAACAAATTCAAACCATTTTAAGAAAAAACCGGAGGCATGATTTTGGCTTGCATATAGGCAATGTATCACTAAGGTGAGAGGAACTGATGTAAACAATGTATCTGGTGTTCTGGAATGCATTCTTTCTTCAAATGGGTCATATTTGGTTAATCTGAATAAAATGAAAGAGGAGTGCAAAGGTTTGTTGGTTTTTGAAAGCGGTTTTCATGGCATTTTTCTCACATCTATCATCTTCCTGTGGTAAACAACTTGTGAGTATTTCATTTCGTTTGGTCACATACCAGACCATGAAAGCCCCTTCCAGAGGATATACCTATTGGCACTGTCCCTCAAAAATACTAAAGGATGTGCTTTTCTTTCATTGAACACATAATTTTATAACTAAGAGCAAAAAAAGTCAATCTACAAATCACAGGAAACAAAACAATTTGTTCTGGAATCAACTGTTGGAGAAAGAGGCAGCTGGTTGAAAATGGAGCATGAGGAGCGAACTATGGGCTGTATAGTGTCATTCTAACCCACATTCTCGAGCATTCTCTAGTAGGGTGCATTTCCTGTACTCTGTAGTGTTACCTGAAAAGAAATCACATTTTAACCAATCATTCCGTTAATCAAGCTATCACTGAAAGGAGTGCATAAAACACGTGGGATCCAGGTAATCCAACCCACCCAGCTGGAGTCCGCAGCTGCTTGGGGACGAGGTGAAGGAGGCCAGGTCTTCTTCGGCTGGATTCTCTTGAAGAGATGGCAGAGCCTCCTTGGCTGGTTCTTCAAACGCAGCCAGGTTCTGAGCTCGCGGATCCTGCACTAACACCAGGATGTTGTTATCCATCACCCTGGACACCTTAGCGTACTCTTTACTGGCTTCAGGAGTACTGGGCTTCTCTGTCTGGTTGCTGTTCTCTTTGTGTTTTGGGAGCAATGACAGTGCTCCATCTTTGTTAACCTTGTGAATCTCCACGTAATCCAAGGGTTTCACAGAGATAAAAGGGGTTTTCTCCAGGGGTAACAGCCATGCTGTGCCTTGGTCAGTCTTGGAATGGAAGCTTTCTACTTCTCTCCGCTCAGCTGCCTTTTCCTCCCCTTCAGTCTCAGTGGTTTTTGAAGATCTTAAAGCGTGTGTGTCTGTTTTGCCCAACAAAGTGGCCGATGCCCCCGCCGTGCCCACAGCCAGCTTACACACATCAGCAATGCTGTGGTAAGAAGATCTGGGGCTGTGCTGGCTGGGGGGCTGTGGTAAAGGCCATGTTGAGGATTTGGATCCGTCGGCAGGGAAATAGGGGATCTTGCCTTCCAAGCGTGTGCTCTGGGCATCCCGAGTGCAGGTAACCTTTGTTTGGGGATTCTCTGGCTTCTCAATGCCCTCAGGAGTGTTACACATGGAGGGATTTGCCCGGGCTTCCTCACACTTTTTAGACAAAAGGGAAGGGCTGTCGCAGCTGCCCCGGCCAGAGTCACTGTCTGGATCCAGGGGTGTGGGCTTCCTGTCTTCACCCGGGTGTTCTTTTGAATGGGCTGGCATCAGCTGCTGGTCCTCGCTGTCATCCACTTCTAAAAACTCGACCAGCAAGTCCTCACAGTCAGACGTGGGAGGGAAGTCTTGGCACCCCAGGGCGCTCAGCAGTTCCTCAGACTTGCCCTTCTAGGAAAAGGAGAGATGGCCATTAGCTTCCTAGCATTCCATGTTGGCCAAGCCCATGGTCCTGACTAGGGGCAAGCGGGATGTGCTAATTGCCTCGCAAAATTCCCCAAACGTCAGACATTTATGTACCAGGCTATCTATAGTCACCTCCTGGACTACTCCTCATCTCATATTTTTCTTTCAGTTAATTCATGATTTTAACTTAGTCTCTTTCTGAGCAATAATGATTATGAGTTCAACGGGCAAGTGGCATATGCACATATAATAAACACGCACCTATCAAATACGACGTTTGCGAAACATCAAAAACCACAGTGCTCATGCCTGCATTTGGTGCCCTGGGACCCGCTGGACCTGCGGTCTGGTTGCTGGCCTCCTAACCAACTCCACCATCTTCTGGAGTCTGGCAGCGGTCAGCAGATTCTCGTGTTTCCCTTCTCTCTCAACTCCGCCTCTTCCCACTTCTTCCTTTCCCCTTCCTTCCCCTCCTACCGACTCCTTCCTCTCCTTCTGCTCCATCTCTGTCGTCCTCTCCCCTCCCCCTCTCTCCCTCTGTCCCCGGTTCCTCCCTCTCCCCCTCTCTGTTCTCCTTCTTCTCCCCTCCACCTTCCTCCTGCCTTCTCTTGTTTTTCACTCTTCTTCCTGATTGCGTGACCTAGGTCCGCTACTGGTACCCAAATCTTGACTCTATCACTTATTAAAGGGTACTGACTTTGGACAAGTTGCTCTATGGTCCTCACTTTCTCCATCTGTAAAATGGGAATAATAGTAGCCATCTGGGAGGGTTCTTCTGAAGATGAGAGGTAATTGTGTTTAAGAATATGAAAACTTTTTTGTGTGTGTGTGACACAAACAGTAGTTATTTCATTATTAAGTCCCTGGGGCTACAAGGTCAAATTTCAAGCTAGACAGTAGTTAATTTACTTAGTTGAGATGTTCATGTTGGTTCTGTGAAGGGCAGTTCTAGGACTGGGTAGTGGGGTAAGAGCACTGGACCAGGAGCCCAAGTTCTGGGGCTCTAATCCCTGATCCGGTATTTGTAATCAAACTGAATGCAGTCAAGCCAAATTCTCTGGGACTCACTTTTCACATTCTTGTTGTGTTCTTAGCCTCACAGTGGCTGGGTCAAGTGATGTAATGTGCAGGTCATTACTTTTAGATACATTAGTGTTAAGCTGAAGTCAAATTGAAACTATATATTTCAATCTGGACAGAAATTTAAAATGTTGTAACCCCTCTTTTTATCTAAAACACTTGAATTTAAATCCCTCTTGCATCAGCCTAAGCGGGCCCTGGCAAACACTAGCCCGCTTGTACTGATCCAGTCTCTACTGAGTGCTCAAAGTGAGCAACAATTACAATAGGATATTGCAATTATGCAAAGAACATTCAAGTGAACACTTTAACTGAAGTATGACAAAGGAGGTGGTGGGTCCCTGTTTTGTATTAATTAAAATATTCGCCCTCTTTCTAAATTGGTTATTTGCACAAAATGTTTATTTCTGTGCTTATGAACAGACCTGGTAAAGCTAGCCAAATATTACTGTGTGTTTGCATGTTTTCTTGACTTTCTCTCCTTGCCCTCTGATGCCGAGTGTCTGAAGGTAAGGACCCTCACGCCTCCGCCCGTCTTTCTGTAAACATGCATGCTGAGGAGCAGGGCTGAGCTGGGCGGGGACTGAGCCGGCCAGGCTGAATTGATGGGAATTATGTGCACCCGTGTAAAGGTCATCATTACAAAGCAGTGAGTCACACTACATTCTCCCCCTCTTCCCACTTACCTCCAGCAGATGAGCATCAAATCCTTTTATTTTTGGCCCAGGAACTGGTGGAAGGATGCAGGTCACCATGCTTTAAAATAATTTGTGAAAAAGAATTAGATGACTCACCTTCTCACTTTGTAATTTTTGAAAGATTAGTATTCTAACTACCTGCTACACGGACTATGGTGGACAGGAGTTAGATTTCTGGGGCTCCATGAGACTAACGATCAAATTGAAGACAATAATTTTAGGGGCCTACATAGTATTTAACTCTGGCTCATCGAGGAGGCCGATGCTGAAATGAGTGGATTATTTGGACTACTTGCTTCTCTTGATTGGAGCTGCTCTTAATGGGAGTTTTACTAATGCACCACTGGGAACCTGAGTTTGATGGAAAGAGCACCAGCTTCAAAGGAGTCCATCCTGCTCCTTTTGCTAGCACTGATAAAAGATTTTCTATGGGCGAGCACACTGCAGCTAATGGCTCAAAGGAAGTGCTTGACTTATGGGTAGGTTTTCAACATCTATGCATTATCCTTTTTGGCTGCGATCCCTGACAACCATGATTGGGAGGAGGGGTGATAGACAGTGAAGTACCTATGGCCTTTCAAAGCCACAACTGCAACCATAATCAGACAGATAACAGCAGAAAGAACGGCCACAAAGATCCACACGATGGTATCTTTCATGGTGACATCTACAAAGCAAACAGTCGGAAAGCTCTGATCACATCAAAGCACCATTAAAAACAAAAACAAAAAAACCCCAAATAAGCAGAAGTCATGAACAAAAGAGTTCCCCCCCCTTCCCTACCCCTCTTTTGATTTGAACAGCAATCCAAAGAGTGCTCATGTCACTGAGTGCCTCAGTGACAGGTTTAATTTTTATTATTAAAGTTTAATACATTGCATATATTTTACAGTACTCTATAAATTTCAAAATCCTTTTACATATTATTTTATTTGGCCCTTTAGGAGGAAATTCAAGGTCACATGGTCCACTGTAGTAATAATAATAAAGGTCATCACATATTAAGGTTTTTTTAAAGCCATCAATGGTGCTAAGCTCTTTCCAGACACTGCCTGGTATATAAAGATGAGGACACGGAGGCTCAAAGAGCTATTTCCCCACGAACATGTAAACTATAAAGCTGCAGTTGGGATTTGAACCTGGATCTTCTGCCTCTGGACCTTGTGCTTTGATTTATTTAATAAGAGCCAGGGCTGAACTGGATGCCCATGTGAATCTTATGACCCACAGTTCAGGGCTGTTTCAACACCAAGCCAAAGCAGGCCTTGTACTTTGGCCGGGAAAGTTGGCAGAGGAGCTAGACTTTGCCATGGGGTTCTGGGTAAGGCCTCAAACTTCACTGAGCTTCATTTTCCTCACTTTTGATTCCTAATGCTAATCCTATTCTCTCTGAACACCTGAGAGGGTTGGAAGGGCCAAACAAGGTGAAGCGTTTATAAACTATAACGTACTTTAGAAAAACAAGAGAAATCATTCTCTTGTGGACCACAGGCCGCCATGTTTAATGGCACTTAGAACTGAGTGCCTCTTATGTACTGTACCTTCATACAAGGGTCAAGATGTAATCGACCTCAGGGACTGAAAATTGGTTCATGCCTTTGAGATGGCATACCACCTTACAAGTTTTGGGACAACTAGATGATGACCTTGAGCAAATTAGAGGGATAGGGCAGACGGGGAGGGCAGAATGGCTAACCATCAAGCCCTCTGAAACATGCCAAGCCTGCGTTTGTAGCCTTATCCTGGAAACTGGTCCTCACTGACAGTGACCTAGGGAGCAGTGCTACACTTCCAGGTGTCTTTGTATTGGATGGAGAGATGATAAACCCACCTCTATTTATTCTTCTGGCCAAGGCTTAAAATTGTTTCTCTGTTAGTAGTTACTACATGCAAACTTACTAAATTCATTTTGTTTTAGAAATATTTTGGAGTATAAGCAAAAGGGAGCCAAGACACTCACCATTAGGTATCTGGATGGAGCTCTCTGGGCTCCACTCACTCCAGAATCCATGGTCTGGCTTGCAGCGAACCTGGACAAGGTATTTCTGCCCTGGATATAAGCTGAGAATCTTAAACTGAGTCTGCTGCCCAGCAAAATGAGTCTAGGGACAAACAAGGAAGATAGAAGTCACTCTGACTTGTGTTATGTTTCTTCACAGACGTTTCCTCTAGATAATAAACTACTGGAGAACCAAGGCCAGCAGATTCAATTTTGTAGATAAATCTCTGTTCTTATCACCATTCCACCCTCCTAGCTCATCTTTTCCTCCTTGCATTGCTCACACAAAAATTAATGGGTTTTCTCTCTCTCCATGGGGAACTCTATCGACATAGAGTCAAATATTCTGCTCCCTATCCTCTACCCCCTTCTAAATTCTACTCTATGGAGGACAGCTGGTGAATACAATTGAAAAATGGTTGTTGGTTATTTTGTCAACCCTAATAATTTTATTGATTCAAGGATTACCAATTAGTATAAAGCCCCTAGGTGAAAGAGAACCAGGCCTTCAAGTTTGTTGAAACAATAGCATACAAGAGAAACATAACTTTACAATCGAGGGATCAGGTTGTCACCTCTCTGATCCCGGAGTCGGCCTTAGAGTCATTTCTGGTGGGTTAACCAGATGATTTCCATCTCCTGGCATGAAGGATCTAATATCACCTCTGAAGTACTCTTGCTAAAAATTGTTCAACCTGAATCAGATCAAGTTTTTAGATCTAATTGTCTGGTTACAGGAAATACAGGGGCAGAGAAATTAGCCAAATGACCTCACAGAGAACTCATCAGACAAATGCAGAAGGTGGGACATCTCCTGAGCACGTTGAGATGGAAGCAACAGAACAACTAGCCACAACATGTGGTCTTGGAGTGGATTCTGGTTTGGACAAACTAGCTGTTAAAGATATTTTTTGAAGCAACTGGGGGAATTAAAATATGGACTGGCTACTAAATGTTATTAAGGAATTTTAATTAATTTTCTAAGTGTGATCCTATTATTTTGGCTATGTTTGGAAATGTTCCCTTTTTAAAAAATTTGCATTGTTATCATTGCTAATGGGTTTGAGAGTATCTTTTTTTAAATTGCAGCATAATTAACATACAAGTGTTACATTAGTTTCAAGTATACAATATAGTGATTCAACAGTTCTCTACATAACTCAGTGCTCATCCCAATAAGTATACTCTTCATCCCCTTCACCTGTTTCGTCCATCCTCCAGCCCACCTGCCCTCTGGCAACCACCAGTTTGTTCTCTGTATTTAAGAGTCTGTTTTTTTGTTTGTCTCTTTGTTCTTTGTTTGTTCATTTGTTTTGCTCTTTAAAGTCCACATGAGTGAAACCAAATGTTCCCTTTTTTTCTTTTTAAATTTTAAGTAGGCTCCATGCCCAGTGTGGGGCTAGAACTCACAACCCTCAGATTAAGAGTCACACACTTCACTGCCTGAGCCACCCAGGCACCCCTTAAATGTTCCCTTTTTAAAAGAGACATATACAAGGGAAGGGAGGGAAAACCGAGTGGGAAGAAATCAGAGAGGGAGACAAACCATGAGAGATTCTGGACTCTAGGAAACAAACCAGGAGGGGGGTGGGGGATAAGGTAGCTGGGTGATGGGTATTAAGGAGGGCATGTGTTGTGATGAGTACTGGGTGTTATATGCAACTACTGAATCACTGAACACTACATCAAAAACTAATGATGTACTATATATTGGCTAATTGAACATAATAAAAAAATAAAAATAAAAGAAACATATACTAAAATATTTAAGAGCAGACTATTATAATGCCTATAATTTACTGCACTATTTCTTCCTTACATTGAAGTATTTGTAAGTGAATAAAAATACCATTGACCATGGACTGGTTACACTGAGACTTTTTCCTCCTACTTAGTGCCACGTAAGTACACTCACAAGTGTCTCAATCTAAGATATCCTGAGGGAGGTGGGTTGGATACCTGGTGGAAGACCTGTTCAGTGCAAGGAGCTAGCTTTGGGTGAGTATGAAGATGACCCCCATCAATCCCAGTGGAGGGGACGAGGCCCTTCCACATCGGGGTGGGTCACGTCAGCATCAAGAGGGCAACAGGGTTATCCCAAAATGAGGAGGAATGACTTATTCTCAGCTGCGAGGGCTTCATCTTTGCCAAGGACCTGGTTCTTTCCAAAAGCTTCTGGTTGACTCACCTCCCACTCAGTTGCTTTCTTGGGTTTTAACCGAATTTCATACTGGAGTGTGAGCCAACCGGATCTAACGTCAACCAGGGTAGGTGGGTACCATTTCATCCACAGATATGGTTTTTTGTCTTCTGGCTGTTTTAATTCCAAAGTTAGGTTCACAGGAGGGTCTGGTTCAACTGTAGACAGGAAAGAAACTCCACATTTAGTAAAAGTGGTATCTGAACACAGAACTGTATGACTTAGAGGCAGCTCTCTCTACTGTTTCACTCCACTGTGGTTATGAGATTCTTGGCATTTGATATCAGATGTTGGCCAGCAGAACTGGGGTTAGGTTGAAGCAAGCAAGATGCAAAATTTAAGAAGGCACAAATGGCCAAGAAGCACAGGAAAGAGGCTCAAAAGTCATTGAGACATGCAAGTCAAAACCACAATGAGATACCATTTCATACCTGCTAGGGTGGCTAGAATTCAAAGAGTGAAAAATAATAAGTGTTGGTGAGAACACTGGAGAAATTGGAACCCTTGTCCATTGTTGATGGGAATGTAAAGTGGTACAGCCACTGTAGAAAAGTCTGGAAGTTACCTAGAAAGTTAAATGTGGTATTACCATGTCACCCATCAACTTCACACCTATGTATATACCCAAAAGAATTGAAAGCAGGTGTTCAAACAAAAACTTGTACCTGAGTGTTCATAATACATTATTCAGGGTAGCCAATAGGTGGAAACAACCCAAATGTCCATCAGCTGATGAATGGATAAATAATATCCATATCATGGAACACGATTCAGCCACAGAGGGAAGGAAATACTGATACATGCTAGAACATAGATGAATCTTGAGAACATTATGCTAAGTGACAGAAGGCAGACACGAAAGGCCACATACTATATGATTCCAGAATAGGCAGATCTATAGAGAAAGAAAGCAGACTAGTGGTTGTTCTGGGGCTGGGATAAAGCGGGGAATCCAGAGTAACTGGTTAATGGGTATGAAGTCTCCATCTGGAGTGGTGAAAGTGTTCTGGAACTAGATAGTGATGGTTGCATAACTGTGTGAATGAACTAATACCACCGGATTTCACATTTTAAAATGGGTAAAATGGTGCATTTTATGTTGTGTGTATTATGCCACACACACAAAAATAAGGAGGCACTTACTCTCAGGTTCCTTTAAGTACAGGTCTGTGAGTACCCCGTGAAGAGTGCCTTGGGTACCAGCTTGTCTTACCCTAATCAGTCCTGCTGGTCAGTAATATTTTCTCGATTCATTTATTACCTCCTCAAGTCAGTCTCCATGCTGGGGGCGGGGGGGGATGTGAGTGTAATTGTAGTATATTTGGCATTATAACCTACAGTTGCCTAAAAAAGTGAACTTTAGAAAATTTGCCACTAATCCTAATGCTTATATGTTACTAAGTAAATGCCTAAGAAAGATCATTTTATACGTACTTACTAAACAAAGTAAGTAAGTAAACTTACTAAACAAACTTACTAAACATCATCTGTATACTGAGAAATGCCTCTGATCAAAAACCACTGGTACAAAACTGCCAGCAAAATGTTTAGGATGAATCCTTGAAAGCACAGTTTCTCAACCTCAGCATTATGTATCTTGGACCAGACTCTTCTTCATTGGTGGGTTGTGGTGGGTGGGTGGGGTGCTGTCCTGAGCACTGTAGGCTGCTTAGCAGCATTTCTGGCCTCTACCCATTAAATGTCCGTAATACCCTGAGAGCTCTTCCCTCGGTTGTGATAATCAGAGATGTTTCCCATCATTGCTAAACATCCTGGGGGAGGAAACATAGCCCCGAGCTGAGAATCACTGCTTTCAAGCATCTTCAACATTGCTAAATGTAATTCAAGGGCAGTAGCAACAAGAACAAGAACAAAATCTATTTCTGAGAGATTATCTGCCAATATTGTCATTCTGAACTGCGGGTTATCACTGGATGAGACTCAAGCTGATAGAAAATGTACTGTGGTTAATACTGATTAAAAAAAAAAATTTTTTTTTTTTTTTTTGAAGAGAGTCCCAAGCAGGCTCCACACCCAGCTCAGAGCCCGACATGGGGCTCGATCTCACAACCCTGAGATCATGACCTGAGCTGAAATTGAGAGTTGGACATAAACTGACTGATCCACCCAGGCACCCAACACTGATTTTTAGATGAATTCTATGGCATCAACATAGAATTCCTGTCATCAACACTGTATGATGTAGGGTGATATGAGAGTTCCATAAACCCTTCTTTCATTATTTTGGAAAATACAGCCCAACAATTTTTCACCAGAGAATTTGTTTTCCAGAGCTCATGTGAAATTGATGCCCTCATTGATTTCACTTTTTAAATGCACTACTCTTTAGTGATTCCGTTTTTTGTGACTACGTTCATTGTAGCAATGGTTCATTTCAGAACGTTTTTCGCTTTTGTTGTTTTGCCCTCATATGTTAAATCCGTAAGAGAGAGCCCACGACAAAGGAATTATTTGGCATTTAGCATCTTCAAGACTTTGTATTTCAAGTAATTTATATGACTAGAATTTATTTTATTCCTACTTGCCGTTGGGGTTGCTTTTCTGAGTTTCTTAAACTAAGATCACATTCAGTTTCCACCCCCAGGCTCATTCCAGTGATTTGCTGCAAGAGAAATTGTTCAAGTGTGTACCGGTTGGTATTGGAAGCTTTTCTAGTTTTTAGGGATAAACCACTGATAACGTGCCATTGGGATGATATGCAAGTGAACACTTCAGAATCCTAATCTGATTTTCCTTACTGAGTGGTGTTAGGTAAATCCGGAAGACTTGGGTAAACATGAACCTAATTAGCTATTCCCTAGATTATTACCCAAGATGAGGGCTGAACCCTGGCCTGGCCGAGCCATCTCTTGTCCTAAAATTCCCTCTGTCACCCCCGCCACACCATCCAGGCCACTACAGTGATGCCTAATTGCCCTGCAGCTCGCTGTTGATCATGCAAAGCCAGAAGCAGTGTTTGGGTTGACTTCATTTTACTTTGCTAATGACTTCTCCAAACATTGTACTTGTGACCTTGGCCTTCAGCCTGTTGTTCAAGTAGTAGTATTTACTCCTCACATTATTTATTTTTAAAATAATAGCTCCAGTTGCTAAGAAGCACGTGTATATTGAGAATTGAATTTGTGGGAAATCAGTTTGGCGCAATCTCTGTGGGTGCAGAAGCAGATGAACACCTTCTAGGAGCTGCTACTCCATGGAGCAGCTCTGTGTTCCAGCAGGAGGGAGAAAGTAAGGGAGAAGGGGACATCGGTTGCAGGAGGAGGGCTGGAGGGAAGGAATGATAAGGGACGCACAAGTAGAACATTCCTTCTGGATGCAAAAGGCTGAGAAGAAGGGTCAAGGGAGAGCACAGAAGCGTAAGGATCCCAAGCGCCAGTCCTACTGCCGTGAATGATTTGATAAAAATTGGTTTGAGAAACTCAGTTGAGAAGGATATTGTAAATTCTCTGATCTTTCTTTTTGGGGTTGCAACCAAAAGCCAAGAAGACTCAAATTGAGCTTGACTATTGGTAAATCCATAACTGAATAACAAATTCCTTACCTGTTGCCCTTTCCCTTACCTATGTAAGTCACGTCCACATAACGTGGGTCCGAGGAACTGCTTCCCATCTGGTTTGTGGCATTTATCGTGATGATGTACATTGTCCATATGGAGGTGTGCTTCTTGTTGAAGTAACAGGAATTGGGGCCACTGGTTATGTAGTCTGGACATTCGTGTGTGATTGTCTCTCTGCAATGAGTGATATATTAGCAGTGAATAAGAACGTAGTAAACAGAGTTTAATCTCCCGAGTAGATTAGTAACACTGGCTTTTGGGGATCAGACATTCAGAATGCAAGAACCAGAGTGAGGAACAGCTCCCCAAACTTCTGTGTCCTGCCCAGGTCAGCCAGGGGTGAGATGGGGAAGAGGGTGCCGGAGATGGTGGAAGGGTTACGTGAGGTCCTCAGTGACTCTGCTGCTCATCAACACCTCCCTTTGATAGGTTTTTGTGGGCTTTGGGATATATGCCCCCTGCCAATAAATGCTTGAGCTCTCCGATGGCCAAGGCACCGCCTTACCCAGGGAACTGCCGCTGGTCATCTCAGGAAATGTGACTCTCCCCTGTACATACACCCCGGGGGCCGTGCACGACGCACCACTTATTGTGCCTATGTGTTGAATTACATTTCATTAAAAAAAGATGAAAGAGGGTAAGCATCGCCGTCAGTATATTTCAGATTGCCCTAAGTCAGCAACAGAGTAACATGACTAAGAAAGGGGCTGTTTCAGGACCAGGTGGCCTCATTAGGCTGCTCACATGTACACGTCAGGGCCTCAACGCAAGACACAGCACAAGGTGTGAAGGCTTATTTCATTTTGGTGGCCAGTTTGAGTTCCTGAACTCTGTTTACATGATACTCCTCCGGGTCCCAGAAGGGATGACAGCGTTGTGTCCAACAAAGTGCCATCTTTGGGATGTGGTCAGCTGTTGCAACCGGTAAACGTTTTCTTCACTGGGGAAGGATACAGCCCTCCTGGGCTTTCCAGGATGGTTTCATTGTGAGTAAAACAAGGTCCTCACCCAGAGATGACCGTGTTTAGCCCTCGCTGCAACCCTAGCTCCAAATATGCCCTCTGGAAGATCAGAGATCCTGGATCAGCAAATGCGAAGGAAAAAATCCTTACCTTCCTTGGCTTATAGGGCTCTTTCTTGGTCATGAGGATTATGTGATAATCCTCTGAGATTGCAAAAGTAACAAATGGCACAAGGTTTACATCTAAAAGTAACTGGCATTTAGGAAAGATTCATATGTAACCTTGGGATACAACCTGACCTTGGGACAGACACTGGGAATAATGCTGTACTATATTGCTGGGGTAGCGGATGGCCTTTTATACATGGAGAGAGCTCTTCAAGGACATTAACAGGAGATTGTAGGCATGGGCAGTGAAGTTCTTTTCCCCGGTGGTAGGAGCCTTACTCATGCCAATCCAGGGGACTGTGGTAACTCTAACTTCAGGCCGGGAGATTGAGAGCAGTCATGTGGCAGTTGATAGGAGAGAAGAGAACTTTTTACCCTTCCTTGTGGTACATCAGTGTGTAATTAGTAGGAAGTCCTCCATCTTCCCCAGGTTTCCACCAGCAGGTGAATGTTTCCTTTTCAGGAGAACGACATTTCAAGATCTCAGGTTTTCCAGGAGGTAATTGTCCTAGAAAAAGCCAGAAGTCACTGAGGAACAAGGTGCATTCAACCATCAGACCCTCCTGCTGGTGACAGAAGCAGACTGATGGGACAAGGTCAGTGATGAGGTGTGAGGGGGCCGAAGGGCGGGGTGCTCAGAAATGCCAGCAACATGCCTCTGTGGGCTGTCCTGAGAGAGAGGAAGAGCTGTGTGTATGTGTGTGTGTGTGTGTGTGTGTGTGTCCTGTGAGGTAGAGATGGCCACTAACCAGGATGGGTCATTAACTGTAAAATTCCAACAGAGTGAACATCAAGGGTGAGCTGGATGCATGTGGACTGAAGAGTATGTGGCCCTTCCGCAATCCCAGGGTCTCTGCAGCTGACATCCTCCCGTAGCAGAAGGGTGACCATGAAAAGAATTCTGCCCCAGGCACAAGCATCCTGGGGCACTTTGCGGACACAGCGCTCTCTGGCACTTCTCCATCTGCTCACGACTCTCCATTTTCCTGCCATTCCCACACAATTAACTCAGTCTGGGACCTTCTGTTTTCTTTTCTCTGCACCACTGATGCTCCTTTGGCTGCTCCCCTCCCTTCCCCTCACCTGTCTTCTCCCTTCCTGTTTCCCTTCCCTTTTCCTTGATTCCGTTTGGCTTGGACCTCTGACCCAGTCTCACCATCTGGCTCCCCCTTCCCCTGCCCCCGTTTCCGATTCTTGTTTTTTAGTCCTTTTGTGGTCTTATATTTCCCTCTTTCCCCTTGGGTCCTTTTGTGGTGAGGTGGCAAAGGGCTTCCTTGTAGTTCTCTGGTTCTTTTTCTGGGGGGGAGGCGTGGTGAGAGGTGGGGGAGTGGCTAGCTGCTCTCCTGGTTACCAGCTACCACTATTAGCCGAGAGCCGTATCTCATCCCAGCTGGAAGCTAGAAGGTCTGAATAAGGTGATGGGGAAAGTACGATGTCAAAAGGGTGGGGTTTTTCAGTTGCTGAATCCCCAAAGCTCTTGGTGACCTGGCCCCCTTTCCTCCTCCTTGTCTGTCAGATCCAAAGAGGAAAAGGGTGGCCCTGGGCATCTGCCTTGTGCGGCTAGGCAGGACCCCCATTTTGCCCATCCACGTAACTAACCCCAGGTGATCTTCCTTTTGGCTGCGTTGGATGCCTGACTGTTTAGTTCAGAAAATCAGCAGCAGAGAGGAGAGCTTTTGAAAGGTGTCAGGCCCAGCAATTCAGGGGTGTTCTCTCTGTTTTCTCTTATACTTGTCTCCCCCCACCCCTTCCCACTGGTTCCTGGCCAGAACTTCTCTCTGAGCACCAGATCAGGAAGATCAAGTTTGGAGGAGAACATACATGGGAAGAGGGGACACCAGGCGAAACTGGCCAGAAAGAAGTTCATGGAATGATATGATGCAGTGCACAGGCTGGGGCTGAGGACAGTAGGCTGATCGTGTCGCTGGGGGCTAAGCTACCCTCTGGCTCCCAGCCACCCTGAAAACCATCAAAGAATTAGAGGAAACCTTAAAACTCCCTGCCAGCCAGCCTGGGGTTAGGTCTGCCAAAATTTGTAACATTGTTTATGCTCCAGGGCAAATTTCTTTAGGATAATCTCACAGGTTGAAGTGATTTGTTTGTTGTGTTTCGTTGTGGCTGGGGACGAGCATGTGGGACAGAAAGAAAAGTTTTAAAAAAAAGACCAAACCCAAACCCTATGGCTCAATAATGAGCATCCTCAGAAGCCAATTAAGGCAACTGTTGATTATTTGAGTACTTAAAAGTTTCTCTATGGATTACGCTGATCTCTGCTCTTTTTTCTCTCTCTGGAAGCTTATCTTTTTCACATTTCACTGGTTATTCATAGTACCTCTGGGAAATTCAGGAGAGGAGAGCACAGTTGCGAAATTACAACTAGTCAAGTGTTCTTTTCATTCACTTTAGCAGAGACAGTGAAAATTAAAGGACTGCCTCACTATCTTTATAAAATGCACACAGAGGGACAACCACCTAGGTACCATACACACAGGTACACGCTTATGTCCACATTAGAGCCCACCTCACAAACACACACATGCACAGCACCCCCCTGCCCCGACATATATGCAGCTGCATACTCAGAAGTACACTTGGGAACATACATGGAAATATACACATCCAGGGAGGCACACACACAGATAAATACTCACACTGGTATACACAGAGAAGCATTTGCAATCAGATACACGTCAAAAAGTTAATACACACAGAAGTGTATTCAAAAGTATCCACACTCAAACATGCCCAGAGCTGGGCGCACAGAAATGTACATACGCCAGCATGCACACTCTAGCTGTGAACTTCATTTCTCCCATTAGCCCAGAGAATAGAGTTAGCTATATGTTTCCCACCATATGACAGCAATCCCTTTTATCTCTTTACTGTTTTTCAAAGATTTTCCACAAACACTATTTCATCGCAGGTGGAGGGAACATCATAGTCCTCACTTTGAAAATGTGGAAACCCAGAGAGATTAGTGATTGGCTCAAGGTCACATAGCTAGTAGCAGCTGACAGCAGCTGGACTGAGACTCTGGTCTTGTCGTTCATACAAGCTGCTTCGCTCTAGTCCCGGGGTGAGGACAGAAGGCAGAGCACAGGGACACGCTTTTGCATGCACTGCATTCATTCTTTTGCATTATTTCCTGCATTGATTTTAATGCCAAAAATGTTGCAGATAATTTAATAGCAGCCAATGACATTTTCATCTCTTGTAACTGCAGGATGAGATGGACTCTCCACCCTCTCGAGAAACACCCCCAGGGAATCAAAGAGAGCAGGACAGTCCCTTACTTACCATTCAGGAGGCTGGTGTTGAGAAAAAGTAGCAAAATGAAAACAACTGTGGATGCCACACTTTCCTTCATTTTGGTTCCTTTCTCTTTTCTACAGGAAATGTATCAGACGTTCACTGAAAGAGAAGGCACCAGGCAACTTTTGTAAAGTAACACTCTGGTCAGGCACACGCCCCACTTTATTCTGGGTGTTTGCAACTGATCCTTGCTCCTTGCTTAATGTGAATGACAAAACAGGAGGAAAGGAATGTAGGAAAATGTAACATGGTTGGATGGCTTGGCTCAGAAGCATCCATGCACACGGGCTAGAAAAAATTCTACCACCAGAGGTCACCAGATGACAACGTTCACGGGCAGCTGCGGGGCCGCCGCTCGTGCGCAGACCCCCCCCCCAGAAAAAGTGTCCTCTTTCCACCCTGTGGTGACTTAACCATATATCACCCATTTTACGTGACACAGATTGCATGCCCTACGAGAGAGCCATTCTGGGAGGGCTTTGATCCATCAGCCAAAAATAAAGCAGGCTGAAAAGTCAGCCGCTCGGTAAGTCGCCTCAGTACGAAATCAACCTGGCCTCATCGATGCCAAGTTGGGGGGGCTTTCTCTAAAGTGTAGGCTGAGCAAGAAGTTTGCTGGGCTATGGGCATAACTGTGAACCACACAGTGAACTCTACTGAACCTCCCTGTGCTTTCTTTCCCCTCTTTCAAGCAATGACAAACCCCAGTAATAATTCACGTCTCTTGGTTTGGGAGTATTAAGTAAATTTTGAACCTGCACGGGTTGAGAGTTTTGAGCAATTTATTATTAATACTATTATTTTTACCCTTGGAACAAATTTCAAAGCCTCTAAATGTCCTTCTGAGAAGAAAACATTTTTTAACGACATTTGAAAAAGGCTCATTAGTCTTGTTGGACTCCAAAAAACTCTCAGAAAACAACAGATTTGATGAACTAAGTGTAAATTCTTGGAAACACATGGCATATATTTTCTTTTAAATCTTATGATTTTTATAGATCAAGGGAAGAACATCCAGAAGTAAGGCTGCCCCTCTTGAGACGTTTGGAACAGCTGGGTGTTGTTTGATGAGCCTTGAAGAGACCAGCTTTCGTCTGTCCCTCCTGGCCACAGCTGGTTCCCCACGGGCCCGCTGGACACTGCCTCATGGACAGCTTCTAGAAGGCACTCTCTACCTGCTACCACTCCCTCTGAGACATACCTGGAAATAGAAATCTTAGTGGCAACAGAGATTTGGGGCATCTAGGCACCATCAAGCACTCTCTTCTACTGGGGCTCCTGGTTTAGTAACGGCTCCTGTGAGGAAGCCAGTATGTTGTTCTCTGGGGACCTTCTAGTTGCTCTTCCAGGAATCCTCCCAAATGCCTCCCCCTCCCCAGGTTGCACACTCTAAACTACCTGCCCCATCTAACCCCAATTTAAATTAAGTTGCTAAAGGCTCGTAATGGGTATAATCAAATTTCAAATGTCTCTCTTGTCCTAAAAATGTAAAAAGTCTTATTTCTTGCAAACAAATTTTACACGTATTCATCCCTGGTTTTAAGCGTTAGGAACTGTAGTAGGCGCTTCCTTTGGGGTCTGCCTGGTTGGGGTTGTCTGGCCACCAGGTCTCCTTACCTGCGGTTCCACCCTGGTTAGATGGCCTGAGGCTAAAATAACAGGGAGAGAACCCCATAGGTACCCTTTGATTTCCAAGAGTCTGGCTTGTCTTTCCAATATAGAATGCCAACGTTCAGTCTGGAAAACCGAAGCCATAATCTGCTCAGGGTGGGGAGAGCGGCAGAGGGCTGAGATTAAGGCTCAAGATTAAGAGCATTATATACACTTTCCCCAAAGTCGATGGTCAGTGACTGCCTGTAGTGTGACCAAGTGAATCCCTGAAGCCCTGAAGGTGAAAAAGCCCAACAAGAACCCAATAAGATATGGGATGAAACTCTGCATACAAGAGAACTGGTCCTATGTTCGTGTTACCCAACACTAGACGTGGAGAGGGCTTAGTTTTCTGTCTTTGAGAGGGGAGGGAAGAGGTTTTAGGGAGAACGGGGTAGCTACTCTTTGAGGCAGGCACAGAAAGCTGGGGATGTGGTGCTTGGGGGAACCCTGCGGTGGTGGTGGGGGGGGAGACGGGGAGAGGGGAGGGGGTAGGCTCTAGCTCTCTCTGCGCCGCAGCGAAGACCTGTTTCTGTGGCCGGAGCGCGGACAGGATATTTACACCTTTGCCAGGGAACCTTCACCGCGGGACCCTTGCTCATGTGACCATCCGTTATTATTTTTTTTATCGCTGCAATGATCAAGTGGACGTTTTATTGCTTCTCAAACACTTGTCCATCTTATTCCCTACATCCTTTGGTGGGAAACGACTGGCACTTTCCACAAGGGAACTACTTGTATATACAATGACCATCCCACGAGAGCCCGGCGGTGCCGTCAGAGCACCATGGCTGTGTGAGAGTTATTAGAAACAATACAGGGGCTGATATAAACTGCCCACCTCTGATTTCAGACAGCTTCCCGCCCCCCTCTTCCAGGACCCCCAGAGGGGACACTGAGCGGGCACGTGGTGGAGACGCTGCTGGTGCGCCGAGCCCTGGGAGCCAGAGGGTGGGCGGAGGCAGCATTTCTCCAAATCGAAGCTGACTCTGCTTTGGGACCGCACGCACATGGCACTTCAACAGAAAGATCTCCCGGCTCCTGACCCAAGCGGGGTAAGCTGCCACACTGTCGCGCACGCACCTCTGCACCGGAGTCACCTTTAATAACTCAGAGCGCTGAATGCGTCCGGGTGGCTGGAGGCGTCGCGCACGCCAACTCCCCTCGGCCCACGGCACCCCAGCGGCACCTCGGACTTGAGGGAGGCTGGTTCTCACACGGCCTGCCTGGCTGGAAGGCCAGAGCATGCGGGGGAGCTGCAATTCTCCCCGGCACGCTTCGGGCAGAAGGCGCAAAATAGACGCTGGCCTCATTTTCAGAGTAGTTTCTCATGAGATCATCAATCAGCTAAAAACATTTTTTAAAAACACCCTACGTTGTAGATTGTGTTTTACATCGCTGCTCCACAGAAATTAGTGAGTTTCTTTTTAAAATATTTTATTTATTTCAGAGAGAGAGAGAATGGGAGGGAGAGGGAGAGAGAATCCTCACGCCGACTCTCCACTGAGCACGGAGCCCAATGCGGGGCTCGATCCCACGACCTTGAGAGATCATGACCTGAGTGGAAACCAAGGGTCGGAGGCTTAACCGATTGAGCCACCCCGGCGCCCCAGAAATCAGTGGTTTTCAATCCAGGATTTGCATCAGGACAATGTAGGCAACTTCTTTAAAAGTACCCATTCCTGTGCCTTCTCACTAGAGATTCTGCTTCATTGCTTGAGTGTTGGACCCACCTGTACAGCGGGCATTTTTAAAAGGCCCTCCAGAACATTCCAGTGTGAAGTGAAGGTGGGGGGAGCACTAACTGGCACATAATCACCTGACACATGTCACGCCTCTGCTAAGAGGCTCCATTTGACAGGAGAGGAAACTGAGGCTGGGAGAGGTAACAGGCTCTGTCCGCCATCACTCAGTGTAGAAGGCAGAGAAAAAGCGGGAATCCAGTCTTTAGACTCTGAGTCCTGCCTCAAATTACTAACAACATCAAAGATCAATTGATAAACCTCTTGTCTACATGGTGAGTTATAGTTTACAAAGCACTTTGCACTTTCTCATCATTATCACATTTTATTTTTACAATAATCCTGGCCAATGGGCAGGGAAGCTACTATAATTATTCCTCTTACTCCTCCTACTGCTGCTATGACTACTGCATCATTGCTCCCATTTCAAAGATGAGAACACTGAAGCTCAAAGGGGTAAGTGGTTTGAACCACCTTATCTTAAAAGCCTCCAGTGTGCTTAAAATTGTGTGGTGAGAAAATTGGCAAACCCTTACACAGGATACACTACATGCCTCCCCCCCATAACAAACCTGAGACGCAAGGACTATTAATAATATGCCCATTTTACAGTTGAGGACACTCGGGCCCAGAGAGGCTCCATGAGTTGTCCAAGGTCACACAGCCAGTGAGCACTGTATGGAAGGGGACGAGCTCAGCAGTTGGGCTCTGAGATCTGTATTGTTAACCACCCTGCCGTGGCCACCAGAAGCCCTTGGGGCTGTGGGTTCTGTGCCCTTTAAAGGGGCCCTCTACCTGATAAAGGGCTGCCTTAGCACACTCCCCCTACCCAGAGGTGGCTCTGGGGCTGGGTGCCATGGGATGCAGGGATGGTCCATCAGTAGGAATGGGTGTTCCTGGATCACTGCTTCTAGAGTGTTCTAAGCACCATCCCAGATATAATGGGTCAAAAGTTTTAGAGGGCAGGACCTAGAAAGTGGCATTTAAAATTAAAAAAAAAAAAAATCACTGAAATATTACTGGCATATAACATTGTATAAGTTTAAGGTGTACATCATGTTGATTTGCTACATTTACATACTGCAATATGATTACCACCTTAGTGTTAGTTAACACCTCCATCATGTCCCGTTGATGGGAACAATTAAAATCTAGTCTCTTAGCAACTTTGAAGTTTATAACACAGCATCGTCATCTATAGTCACCAGGCTCCGCATTAGAGCTCTAGGACTTATTTATCTACCGGTTACAGGTTTGTCCCAGAAGGGGCATTTTCAACAAGCACTTAGCTGGTTCTTAGGCAAAGAGGTGGGGAGGGAAGATAGTGGTGGTGAAGGTGGAGTTGGCTGCTTCTCCAACGCTGCGGGCCTAGACGGCATTTTCCTTGGGACCTCAGGGAATTTTCTGTGAGGAGGGCTCAGCGCGTCAGGAGCTGTGACATCAAGGGGACTCCGTGCAGGGTGCACTGAGGCCAGCTCAGACCAGGAGGCAATTGTTGAAATTTTCAGAATGCTGGAAGCTGCGTGGCTTCATGTTGGTAGCCTGAGATCAGCCACAGTGGGAGTGTTTGTACCACGGGAATTGGCAAATGCTACAAATCAGGATTTCTTGTTTCTTCTTCTTTTCTCAGGGACAGTTGTTAAACATTTCTGGCACACCTGCAACGTGGGTCCAGCTCTGGACTCGATGCTCTCCCACGTAAGAGGA